ATATCAAGAACAATTTGTGATTCGATAAAGATATTCGTTTCTTACAAAGCGGATTGTTGGCATTCCAAAACACAATTATTTCTTCCACTTAATAACGCGTTTATCATTAGTTGCCATATTTATGGGCACGCATAGTAATTCGTCATTCTTTATACGGTGGCGATTAGTTATGGCGGTAAGTATGTAGAATTGTAAATGGCACTTCAATTCCAATGTAACATTTATACTTGTTAATAATCTTAAATAACATTCCCATGTTTTTAGGATTGCTTGAATTCGATTTGCACTTTTAGTAGACGTATTCTAAAACTTCTGTAGCTACTCTTTTTACTCGTAATATGATCATTAATTGAGAATTAATGTGTATGATTAGTTGTTTATTTTTTAATAAAGTCACAATCAAGAATTTTAGATTTGTCATAAAAAACTACATGATATCGCGAAATGAAATCGTATCTAATCTGAACAATATTCTGATCGTTTCTTACTCGTATCTTGTGTCTTTGTGAATATTGATATTTTTAAAACATGTTCTATTTATTTTTTTATTTTATAATTTTGTGAGACGCATCTATTTTGCCGAACTCATTTAAATTGCACCTTTAATTAGAATTGATTCGAGCGGCTCGTTTAGTTTTTTAATTTCACTTTTGCGATTTCACGCGAATGTTTTATTAAAATAATAACTATAAATAGTATGTATTTAGTTGTTATTTCTGAAGTGTCATGATTCATCCACTATCTTATTATTGTAACATAGCAATAAAATTGAATTACAATCAACGTTTTATCGACAACTGAATACTCGTGCCTATTAATAGTAAAAGTGACATTAAAATATGCACCGGCTCGTTTCTGTTCAGTTTCATTAATTTGAAATTCAATTTGACGAACTTATCCTTTATTCATGTTTTTCACACTACGAATTTGTTAATTATCTATTTAATTAATGCCTTCCTCGTTTACTATGTAGATTTAATGATATAAAAAAACAGAACTGATGTAATGGACTTAATTACCATTGCGTAGTAGATTAGAGAATAATGCAAGTGCGTTGGAAAATAGAATAAAAGGATATTTACAACAAAAAGAACAGCTATGTTTGCACGTAATGGATTTGACTTTTGATGATATCTTGTTGTACGAGTATACAGGGTGTTAGGTAAATGGGTATATGAGCCGACACTAGCCCATGTTAACATGGTCATATAAATGGTATGGTGAAGTCAGAAATTTGATATCATCATTTTATTTTTTTTAATTTTCATACAAAATATTTTTAATAAAATCCGATTTGTATGAAAATTAAATTAATTAAAATGAAGATATCAATTTTCTGACTTCACCATACCATTTATATGCCCATGTTAACATGGGTTAGTGTCGGCTCATATACCCATTTACCTAACACCCTGTAGAAATGGCATTAATAACATTTTTATTCCGCTCGACATGGCGGCGCTAGTGTGCAACGAGTTGTTGGTTGTTGCCATGGGAAGCAAGAGGCGGTGTGGTGCGGGCAAGGCAGCGCCGCGAGCTCCGCGCCACCTCGACCGACACGCAAACGATCCCGGGTACCAGGCGCCCAGAGACCGGTAGGAGCTAACCGCGTGCCATTCCACTCGCCTTGTCTCGCTCACCTTATCGGCGACCCTCGCACGTCTGAATGAGGCAAACGGCCTTCGTCGATCATACTCACAACGGAAAGCAGACCCTTCTGCTATAACATTGGAGTTAAAATTCCGTGTGGAGACCACCCCGATGAGTTTTAACCCTAGATAGCTAACCTCCGTCGATTCGACGGGCATTGAAAAGAAATAACGTTCTAACTTTTTAATGCCACGTCCAAACGTTTTGTCTCGACTAGCCAACTCAGAGGCCCGGGAGTCCTTTGCAGTGGTGTAGACAGTGGACAGGTAAGTTTTATAGTTTTTAAGATATTTGATCTTTGCCCGTCGTTTCGACGGATGGTTAGCTTTACCGTAAGTAATTTAGTTCGAGTGCCTGCATACATTTTTTTAATAAATTTGAGATTTTTTTAGATTTTCATTTTGTTTTCATTAAAAAACGATAAAATAATAAATCTACTACTATAAGAAGTTACTAACGATGCCCTGGATGCTAATCCTGCCCGTGAGACCGAAGACTTTCTGGTGGAAGATGATGTGCAAAGTAATCATAATTATTAACCATCATATTATGAGGAAAGTTATGTAAACCCACCACCAGACTTGTCTTCAGACGTGGAACGTGATTCGTCAATTATTTCAAATACCGTTCCCTCGGAAATTACAAAAATCAGCATTATATCATATCAAAATATGCGGTAAACATAAAGTTGATTTTTGTGTCACTTGCGCTAAAAAGAAAAAAAATATTTTATGATTTTATTACTTTTAATGTTTTTACGTACCATATTAAGTAAAAAAACAGATTATTTTATTTAAAATTTTCATTGATATTGCATGTCAAAGTGGTTATTTACAAAATCTTCCAATTTCTTTAGAGGTCTAAGAAAAAATATTTTAATTTAATAAATAAATAAATATGGTGAATTTAAATAATGCACATTTATTCACAAACATATGAAGGAACCAAACTGTAAAAAAAACTCAGATTTTTTAAATTACTTAGTCCAAAAAATAATCTTTTTTTAATACCCGTCGTTTCGACGGATGGTTAGCTTAAACAGGGTACGCCGGAAGGTTAGCTATCTAGGGTTAATGATCCCATCGTAGAAACCTCCGCACCGCTCCAACGAAAATGGAAGCGTATTCTGAAGCACGTGAAGAATTTCTGATATATTTTGTAAATTTATGCTGCCCTAATAGTCTCGATGCTTAAGGATCATTTTAGCGTGGTTGACATTCCTTTTTTGTACGGTTTAAAGACATAAAATTCCTTGGGAACTATCGGCGAGGCTTTCGTGTTGATAAAAAATAAAGTGGAGGAAATTATATGGTGGAATGCTTGGTTTGGCGGCATTGTGGTGGTTTTTATCGACGGCCTGTGGACGGTGCTACATCAACGTGGGACGGGGGACTATTTACTCTTTTTGGTGTTCATTCAGAATAAATAATGACGTAACCCGACGCGTTGTTAATGGATCACAGCCGACTCTCGGCTCTTTCGGTGACGGCGGCTCATTGTCTGTTTGTTGGTCCATTTTTTATTAGATCGTCAAGATAAACACGATTGATAGTCTCGAGTTTGTTATCGAGGTCGATAAACACTTAAGAAGGCCGAATATTTGAAAGTGTCCTTATTTCTTTTATGTGGTTGGTATTGGGGTTGTGTGTAGAATAAATATTTTTATGCGTTCATACCTATTTGCAACTAGGTCATTCATTTGTAAAACGAATGGCGATCTATGTAAAATTTGTTAATATTTCCTGGAATAGTGAATGCAAAAACTTCAAAAGTATCTTTTATAGTTACAATATTATGTCTGGCTGGAATGAACCATTAATTTATTTTTGTATTAATTAAAATAGAACCTATTTATTTTTTTTGCGTTAAAGAGTTGCATCTAAAAAAATTAACTTGCAAATATCGATTACCTCAGCATATTATGAAAATACTACATTACAAAATACTAAATGGTCTTATGTCATACTTGCTCATCATATTGTAAAATCGACGTTCAAAATATGTAATGAGAACATCGTCAACATACAGTATGTTTCGTCAGACTATCTTTTGTAATAGCAGAGGTTCAAAGTTAGTAAACACGTCTGCCTAGTTGCAGCGCCATCTGAGTTGATCTGGGAGAGGCCAGACTGTTTACTTGCGTCAGCGATAGCGCCGCGGCAAAGATGGCGCGTGCCGCGGCACGGCAGGCCCAGCTACCAGGCTCGCAGGAAACCATGGAGCTGGCGCGCCACCGTTCTCATTCTTTGCATTTGCGCAGTGTGTGTGACAGCTCACGTAAAACGACGGAACTGCCGCCTAACCTAAATTCAACCGTATGTCAAAGATGATACGGTGTAAATCAGCTTGGAGAACAAATGCAGCGTGTGTTTAATGACTGCGTCACGTCTCGGCTAGCAGTAGGGAATGTGTCGGCTACCTCCTATTGAAACGTGCGGTCCTAGTGGTCAGCGCGCACTGCGCAACTCCCCAGACACACGACGTCACGCACGCGGCCCGCACACAGCCTCGGTGCGAGCATTCCGTAATGCAAACAACGTGCCAGACCAGCTCACCAAGGCTGTGCTAATAAAAGTCAAATAAATTATGCGGAACTTATTATGCAGATAATATTGGACGATAATGCCGACGCAGAGATATGGAAAATGCTAATTCTGTTTCTAGGCGCGTTAATAAACATCCCAAGTGGTGTCGGGCCATTTTAGCGATAATAATACGATACTTCAAGCAATTTGAGATGCAGAATAATTCATCCGTCTGGTTATGAAAATGGAAAAGAAACTGGAGCGGCTAGTTGGGGCCATTATATTGTTCTAGAATAATATCAAACTGATATAAAAATATCTACACCAGCTTGATTCAAAACGTCTCCATGTTAAATAATAATAACATGAATAGCATTTTAGCATTTTATTATAATATGAAACTGATATGATATTATTTTTTTTCTTTTATATATTTCTAAGTTAGTTTTTTAGTAAAACATTTTATTTTTATAGTCCTTATAATTAATAATAATTATCTTTATGAATATCGTGGTCGTTTTTAATTAGACAATCAATTTCTTTTCAAACCACTTCTAAAGCTGTTTTTATCAACTTACTACAATTGTCTATAAACATTTATCGTGCACTCATTTAACATCAAACAACAAGTATTTATGTTCCTATCAGCTCAACACGAACAAAAACATCACTATCGCAACAGTGCGCCACCGAGTCGGTATTATCGCGGCTCCGCTTCAGAGCCCACCACAGGCGTTCCACATTGCACGAAACACGAATACATCGATGTCCAGAATAACCTGACCTCTGATTCCACCATACTTTTCCCCTCGCGAGCACTGAAGTGAGCGAACTCGAGGGGACAGGCGCGGCCCTCGATAACTGGCCGCGCGACGCCGCAAACATCTCCTCGCGAATTCTGCGCGCCTAGTACCCTGCGTACAGTGCGGCAGTTGGCGACCGCGCCGCAAACCGCAGCGGCGGCTGCCGGCGTTGCTGGTTCGACCCAAGTTCACCGTGGGAGGGGGTCCCTTGGCAACAGCCCCTTTATCGAGAATACCTACGCATTCACCGCCCGGCAAGCAACTATATACGAAATGAAAAACATCGGCCACTTTACAAACTACTTTTATTATCTTGCTTTGTCACAATTTTGTATTGGCGAGACTGGTTTGTGGGTCTAATTTTCGCAGTCTCCCATAGAATATTACGTCCGAGATTATTTTTTCTGCGATGTACCGCTGCATGGGCTCCAACTCTTTGAGCTGAAGGCCAATAGTGCGGCCGAATGTCTCGCTCTCTTTGGTCGCCTCCGATTCGTCCGTGGTACTTTTTATTTCAGGTTGTGATTGTGTGACTTCCTGCTGACACGCCGTTTCTTCCCGGTTTGATGGTGTTGCTGCCTGCTGTGATTGTGTCACTTCTGTGTCCAGTGGCTCTTCATATGTAAATCTGATTTTCTTAGGTGGTGGTGTCTTTATTTCTTCGTCGCTGTCTTCGATAACTTCTGTGACATATTCTTCCTCCTAATAAAAAAAAAGTTTTAATTAGAGCATTGCCCAATTTGTAAATTGTTAATTTGACCTAAATAGATTCTCTTAATTTTACTTTTTACATAATGAAACTTACAAAATCTTAATAAAATAAAAACATCATAAAAGTCACTCGCTCTATGTTTAATGTTTATGTACCACATCCTTTACAAAACATGTTTTTGGTACATCCAGGCTCACCGCCGCGCAGTGACTAACTAGATAAACTTGTATTTTATTTTCACCTACCTGCTTAACAAAAAAAAGTCACTTCTATAAACTGCCACGCTAATTGTTATTGTAATTTAAGTTCATTAATAAGGCAAAATAATGTTTCTCTGTAAGTGATTTCATTGTCATTTGTTTTTGAGAAAATAAATACCTTTAACCACAAAAATAGCTATTTGCATAGCAAAAAATGACACGCGAGTCAGTAATTACTAGTTACCTCAATTTTTACTTCCATTATTTCATTAACTTCTGTCACTTCTGTTATTTCGCTGACGGAGCAGCTACTGGTGTCATCTCTAGTTTCATCCAAAAATGTGAACAGGTGGTAGTACCATAACACGGGGATATGCGGTTGGGCACCTTTTGCTCTGGCTGCTAAAACCTAAAAAAAGAATGTTATTATTACTGAATAACGGCCTTTTTAAATCGAATAAAAAACAGAGAAAAATAAAGAATTTGATGGAGATTTGTTACCTTTTTGTATTCCCGCCTGTAAGCATTCCTCATGTTATCAATCTTCTTTTTGAGCATTTCTTTGGTAGCATCTACGTATATGGTCCTATATTTCTGCAAAAGTATTGCATATGCTCTATCCCGTTCGTTTCTGCAGTGATACAAATGGTGCGCCTGATCCCAAATGCATGGCAGCCTTTTGAACATTTCCAACATTTCAGTGAGCATTTTCATCTCGGGTGCCGGCGGCATTTTGAAGTTGTATGAAAACAGGTCTATTACAGTCATTTCTGCGTTATTCATTAATAATTATTTCCAAAAGAAGCACTTCACACGACCGCGTTTCGCCTCGCACTGATAATCTGTCCAACGCTAACTCTGACTTCAGACCAACTGACTGATTCGTGTTTGGTCGTCAGACAAGTTTTGCCGATCGGGCCGACGCAAACAACAGTCGTGATGTCGTCGTCTCTTTCTAGCGCGTGGGGATGACAAGGACGGGGCATGACGGGGCGCAGGCGCAGGCGACGCGTTGTCGCGGTCGCAACAACAATTGGCCGTTATTTTTCTGTTTGTCGCGACCGACTTTAATAAAAGATGGTCGTTGGTCGGGTGAATGGAAATTTTTTAAACGATGCCATAGAAATGAGTCTAGAATGTAATGACTTGATTTGAATATGTCTAGTTATAAAATGGATCTAGTTTTGTACGGTATTAAGTTAGTGACATTACAATGTTTTTTTTTGTAGGACTTAATACAAATTAGGTACTTGCTAGCTATTTCCTGCGGCTTCGGCGTGTAAAAGGACAATTTTCGTTCTCCATACATGGTTTGCCTAAGAACCAACAATTTTGACATTTACTACCCGAAAGCGAAATTATACGATTCTGTGTGTAAGAACAATGATTCCTGATGGACACTTGATTAAGAATATTAAATCACAGCGATTTTATATGTTATGTTTATGACAACATGGCGTCTAAATCACATTGGTTGTATTGTGTGAATGTATGATGAACACCGAGTCGCGAAAAATGTTTTGTATTGTCGTCACGCCGAGTTGCAGCCAAATAGTGTAAAATAATAGAACAAGTTTTAGAAATACAACTCGGCATTCCACTTTTATAGTATGCCCACATATTGCACGTAGGTAAATAAACAACATGAATCATAGGTTGTTCCCATCCTTGACATCTGACACATGATTTAAACTCCTATTGTATTGTAGATATCGAAGCCAAATCGTATATAATAATAGAATGGGTTTTGGAAATGACTCGGGGTTCCACTTTTATAAAATACCTACAAATTGCATATAAATAACACGATTATGGGTTTTCTTTTCACTGTTTACATTTGACACAGATAACAAACTCCTATCTCCATGGCTACCGTCATAGTCTATGCCAAAGACTACAATATTATAAGCAAGAAGTTTCAAACCTTAGCGGCTACAGTAACCCCTGGGCCACATACATCGTGATAACATTCGGTCGACACCGGAACGAAGTCTTGCGATTATGCAAAAAAGCACCGTATTCTAATGTGGCTATACCACGTTCAGCCGGGGTTTTAATTCAACTAAAGTTCTGAATAAAGACTGGTAGAAAATACGCCGCATTGTATTAGCACTTCGTGTTCGTTAAAGCGGCTTCAGTATCATAATAGAGCCTACATAGCGTTTTCCTTCCAATAATCTCCGCAAGTAGCGCTGCATGATCTTTACAACTAAAACGGCAATAGTTATTATGGTGCCAAAATTATATGATTATTTGGCACGTTATTATACACGTTCGAAGATGTGTCATTTTCATACATTTATTATTTTCTTCATGTGCTGGAAAAAAATAGTTTCTAGCCGTCCCAGCAACTTCAATAAAAAGTTGTCTTATCCTTATCTTTAAAATCGTAATATTAATTTCTGAACGTATCCTGTTTGACACCTAATAATATTATTTGACATAGCTGGCTCGGCGAATTTCGGCAAATTAATGTTGACATTGCGAATCATGACTTTTGATAGGTTTATCATAGAATTCAGCGGGGATATCCTCGCGGAGGAAGTTCGAAAATTGGATGAACAAGATCTTATAATAATGCAAGGCCGAAACTGTAGCGCGCGTGCGCCTACGTGTAATACGGCATTTATACGATACATAGTAATACCTGGTAATACGCATCGCAATAACGTCTATGTCTATACGCGCTACGAATAGTGTATCATTTTGCATAGTCGCAAGACTTCACTCCGCTGCCGTCAAATCAATGTCGACTGAATGTTATCGCAATGTGTGTGGCTCATAGACAGTGAAAATATTCTTGAATGACAATGAAAATCAGGGTTACCATTTTGTAAGATCTCCTCACTATTGAGGGTAACAAAATAACATTAATAATCTAGCCATTAATTAGGTATTATTACCTATACGAGAAAGTAAAGCAAATTGTGGTTTTATTTTAATTTGTAGAATATTTGTAACAGTTTGTTCTATGTTTAGTTTTACAACAGAATTGCTGTTTCAGCTGCCATTGTGAAGCGCTACAATTTTTGTTTACAAAAAGTTAAAATAAGTTAAAAATAAAATTTGCCACGAAGGTGACGATGAGAAATACCCAATTATAGTCCAATTTTTAAAGTAAAGTGATTGGATGATTTTTTTAATCAAACAGAAATCAAATTACCTTTTAAAAGCGGGCTTGCTTGTCGTATGTTACTTTTACACATTTTTAATTATAAAAAATATTTGTGAAAAGAGTCAAGTGGTCTTTATTGCCAATAACTGAAAATTACCTATAGGCTTCTAATGGTCTTAAATGCGATCTCTATTTTTTTATTTAACAGTCAAAATATAAGCTTTTTTCAATCTATTGGCTTAATTCAATCTTCAAAAGGTTTACATAAAGTGAAAAAACCATTCTTACCTTGTAACTTTTGTTTAACTACTTACTTACTTTTCACGCTTTGTCGCCGGCCGGTTTCAAAGGACTTAATTTATGATTTATTGTGTGTGTGTCTTCCGGAGCCGATATTTTAATTGGTACGGGTATATTAAATATTCTTAACGCATGGCCGTAACAATTTTAGAGACCTATGCCGCTTTTTTGTAGGCTCTACAGCGCTTTAAGTTTTATGTTTATTTATTAATTTTAAGATAATGAGATACCTTCATTATCTTTTAATCCAGGAGACTTGGTTGTAACATTTTAGTTTGACTTCGTTTAATTAATAATGCGATTGAATGATACGATTAATTGTAACGGAATTTTCATTTCTTCATCATTATGTAGAGTCATAGTCATAGTTTACAAGACTATAATTTTCAATTCACAATCAAAAACATTACAGGTACCTATACTCGGTTAAAAGAAATATCACTTCATCATCGATTTTACCAACGTAGCGTAGATACCGTTTTAGTCCCATTTCTTAGTTCCCATTTAGGTAGGAGTTTCCGTAAGTCTTACGTAAATGAATCCCGTAAAATAATGATATCAAATGTAAGGCCTTTTGTGAATGAATCTATCCCGATTGTAGTTTTTAAGTTGTTACCTAGTTTAAACTTTGCCACGTCTTTTATTTGTATGAATCCATCGCAGCGGAATTTAGTTATATCCCAATACACAGCCTAATCTAAGCTAAGTTCATAATGCGGAAGGACTCTATCACTCGCTTTAAGAGTACTTCATTCACTTACATAAACAAGGCAAGGCAAAATAATTCCTATGAGAAGACAAATCCTTCCCGCCTTTGGGTTTCTATCTACACAATAGGGTTCGCTAAAGTCTTTTTGTTCGTTCGTTTCAGCCAAATGACGTCCACTGTTGGACAAAGGCCTCCCCCAAGGATTTCCACAATAACCAGTCCTGCGCTGCCCGTATCCAGGCTCTTCCCGCGACCTTCACCAGATCGTCGGTCCAACTAGTGGGAGGCCTGCCCATGCTTCGTCTTTCGGCCCGTGGTCGCCACTCGAAAACTTTTCTGCTCCAACGGCTATCGTCTCTACGTATCTGTAATCTATAATACCTGTAAAAGTCTTTTACAGGCATTAAATACATAATTAACTGTTTTGTAAGTTTTGGGATGCAATCTCGATTTCAAATCGAAAACAAATGACACTCTGCGTGTTGTCGACGATTTCAAGACGAGCTAACGTCATTCATAATTACCTCATACCGGTAATGTAGAGGTAGTTTCGAACAAAGTTAAGGAGGCTTTGGTTTAAATACCTACCTAGTCATCTTTTCGTAAGAACAACTTAACGTGAAATTGACGATACCTAGTACGTTAGAATAAACTTTCTCTTTATCTCACCTCGGAGTAATTCTGCCTAATTTCCATACTTTCCCAAATTAAAAATAACATCGTAACAACGTCGACAGCTTTTGTTTTAATATTAAAAGTTGGTATTCATTTCCCCGAGTTAGACAATAAAAGAAAATTGTTTCCATTTTCAGTGTCTGAAAACATTTCCCAATATAGGCACTCCAAGCTAGTGCCGCCTCTACGGAAAATAAATCGTTCTGAAACTAGCTCAAAACCTCCGATGTGTCTTGTTTGAGATTCAATACTGACCTCAGAGTGCCATGGCGCCTGTATCTGTTTATAGTAATGCATGGTAATTTTATGTCAATTTAATAAATTGTGACGTGTTAACTCCAGGTTAAGCCCGCCCTTCTGTCCCAGAGTACTTTGAGTACAAAGACCCGGCTTTGCTTTGAAGGGTAGGCAGTGCGGCAACAGCGCACGACCGCTATTGATCTTCCTTTTTGTGCGGCCAGCGCTTTCAGCGCTTGAAAGCATCACTCTTATAACCAGACTGCAGAAATGAAAAAGCGCTGACATCGCTTTGTTACAGAATAAAAATCGTTCCACGCACACATTTGATACGTACTTGGATTCGGTATTCAAGCGCTGTCAACGCTGCGTAAAAATTTCAGTCATAAGACGATTTGTGCTTTACAGATCTTGAAGCGCTTTAGGCAATTTAGAGTTAATGTATGTTGGTATTTTCCGAAAATACCCTGTAGCGACAGGGCATTGTGCTTGTGTGGGTGATTCCCGGGCAGAGGGCGATTGGGTTGAGCGTCTGTAAGAATGTGGATGACAGGTACAATGGGGGATTTTCCATAAATAAATTAACGGGCAAGGAGATAAGTGCTAGGTATGTATCTTGTTTTGAGGAGCTTGTATCTAAAAATAGAAACATGTATCCATAATTTATGAGGATTTGGGCAGACGATCTTCGTTTGTCCTATCGATTTTCCGAGCTTCTTCGGAGTGTTTTTACTCTATCTTGACATTTTAATTTCCAATTTGAAGTGATCACACCGTCTTTATTCATTTTTTAGTCTGGTGGAATATGTAATATTCTTGCACAATCCGTTTTAGGCTTATTTTAAAAATTATGTTTAAA